CAGTTTATTAGTGGAAATATTTTAGTTATCTGAAATTACTGGTAGGTATGAAACTGAATTTGTGCACCGCTATGAGTTTATAAATTATAAATAAACATGTCAAACACAATAGCGTAACACTGATCTCAAGCTACAGCTTGCTGCGGACTGAGCTTTTCCTTTAAAATAGAAAGGAGACTATCCCATCCAATCTGAGAAAGACAGGATAATTTAAGAGAAAGAAAAAGAAAAAAAAGATTTTCTCATTGTTTTCTGACAGTTACAAGGAATATTGCAGAATATTGAAAAATGTGCCAATGTGAAACTGCTGAGAGCCAAACCTTTGAGAGATGTGAGATGAAACCTGTGTTATGGGCATGGAATTTCAAATGAACATTAGCTGCTGCATCCCATAGTCTAACTCTGAGGCCTGTTTCACACCGCATGCACAAGTGTGTAAGCAAAGCAGCAGCAGGAAAGCGTGGGTTACCAAATTGAACATTTCCTCTAATAATGGCCATAAATTATACAATGGTAATCAAGAGTGCGCAATAAGAGTGGTGCAGATGTGATGTCAGAACCCAGAAGACTAATTTGCCACTGGTTCCTTCAAGACTTTCTTATGGGGTTTTATAATTGTCTTTAGTAAACATTTAATTTATGTGGTAAACATAACTTTACTTTTGACATTTTGTTACTTTGACATTTTGTTCTCCAATGTAAACTGCACACACCCATACTGAAAACACAAATTTTGAAGCAGTTATGTTTTAGTTTTTTTCTCAAAGAAAACAGTGGTGAATTAGTCTTCCAGGTTCTGATGTCACACCTGCACCACTCCATTAAGAACTTTTACAAACCTAATCATCGTGAAATCTGATTTACTTGAGGAGGGGGACCATATTTATATCTCTAAACCCCAAAGTGTAACAAATAACAGTATGAATTCAGTCAGATTTACTTAATAGAAACGACCATTTTTGTGTCTGTTATTACGTGACAAAAAAGAAAGAAAAACAGGCGAGTAGTTAATTCCATATTTTAAGTAGCTTTATAAAAGCATATATGTGACCCTGGACCGCAAAACCAGTCATAAGGGTCAATTTTTCGAAATTGAGATTTATACATCATCTGAAAGCTGAATAAATAAGCTTTCCTTTGATGTATGGTTTGTTAGGATAGGATAATATTTGGCTGAAAATCTGGAATCTGAGGCTGCAAAAAAATCACAATACTGAGAAAATCGGCTTTAAAGTTGTTCAAATGAAGTTCTTAGCAATGCATATTACTAATCAAAAATTAAGTTTTAATATATTTACCATAGGAAATTTACTAAATATCTTCATGGAACATGCTCTTTAGTTAATATCCTAATGATTTTTGGCATAAAAGAAAAATCAATAATTTTGACCCATACAATGTATTTTTGGCTATTGCTACAAATAAAAGTGACTTAAGACTGGCTTTGTGGTCCAGGGTTACATATTACATAAGCTTGTGATGGCAAATATAATTACAGGGCATTTTTACTGAATTTTTTGGCCACTGTGAATGCTGTTACATTTTAGATTTGTGAGGATTTTGCAGTGTTTTTGGGGTGTGAAAGAGGCCTGGGATCTCATGACAAGTAATTCGTCTGCCTACAATGAAAGTGCAGATGCTACACGCAGCACAATAACAGTCATACTGATGTTTAACATAAACCACTGCCAGTGTGAATGCGTCTTTCAATGAAAGTTAGTTGGAATTTTACTTTATATATCATAATGCCATTAATTCCATCGCTGGCTTTTTTGTCTAATCAAATGATAATGTATTGATCTCTCTTTCGGGCTACTATAAAAGTGGCTTTTACCACCCAAATCCTTGCTATATATCTCCAAAATAGTGTATGCATAGATGTAGGCCTATATAAAATAAAGATGAAATGGCCAATTATAGAAGCTAGAGTGTCAATGTGTGGTGCCTGCACAGCACAGCTTGAATGCCACCTGAATCTCCAGGTACTTCCTAAAGCAGCGGTGAGTTTGTGCTTTAGGTGAGTGTGCTCATGTGTGACATACAACAGCTCAACTTTAATTCCACAATTGGGTCTTTTCCCATTCAGTTACTGTAGCTTCATCTGGTATTTTATTATATAATTCATATGTATATATATAATTCATATGGATTCCAAACACTTTTATTATGATTTAGCTGTCGTGAGTCATCTAAGAGTAATCTCTTACAGATTGCAAGTGCAATTTATATAAAATACGTTTTAATGTTATTTACAAGTGATTTGCAATGTTATTATTTTACAATATGGACAGTCCACCAACGTTTACCGTCCAACCTGACAGAACTGGAGAGGATTTGCAAGGAGGAATGGCAGAGGATCCCCAATTCCAGGTGTGAAAAACTTGTTGCATCTTTTCCAAAAAGACTCATGGCTGTATTAGATCAAATGGGTGCTTCTACTAAATACTGAGCATTTTTCAGTTTTTCTTTTTTAATAAATCTGCAAAGATGTCAACAATTCTGTGTTTTTCTGTCAATATGGGGTGCTGTGTGTACATTAATGAGGAAAAAAAATTAACTTAAATGATTTTAGCAAATGGCTGCAATATAACAAAGAGTGAAAAATTTAAGGGGGTCTGAATACTTTCCGTACCCACTGTATATATAATTTTATATAGATTTTTTTTCATGTTAACAGTAGACGTTGCAGTACACAGAATGCAATACAAATCAAAAGGTCCACATCTTATACATAAAATCTGTGAAGATGTGATGTACTGTATAAACATATGTGCCTCTCTTTGAACATCTAGTCACATTTTTGTAGTTAATTGTGTAAAAGCACAATTAGCATCATTTTTTTAAAAACGCCTCGGGCTCGGTTCTTTGGTTTGACGCGCCGCATTAAAAACTGGCCGACAGTTACTGTAGCTTCATCTGGTATTTTATTATATAATTCATATGTATATATATAATTCATATGGATTCCAAACACTTTTATTATGATTTAGCTGTCGTGAGTCATCTAAGAGTAATCTCTTACAGATTGCAAGTGCAATTTATATAAAATACGTTTTAATGTTATTTACAAGTGATTTGCAATGTTATTATTTTACAATATGGACAGTGTTTGGGGAAAAAAAGTAGGAAACCTGTGCAATAAAATAATGACTTTACTGTATCCTTTTATGCACACAGATAATAAATAATCTATTTTATTATAGATGATATTCTCTCTGCCCTTTCATTTTTATTTTTGTGGTAAGTAGCTTCATGATAGGGGAATGAGAGGCTGGAGGCTACATTTTGATTAGCACTCAATGAATTTTAATTTATATTCCAATTCAAAGGGCTACTTTGAGAAAAGACAGTTTGCAAGACCATATCCGTCATTTACCCCTCAAACCATTCTGAATCGAATTCATCACAAGCGTGCATCTGGAGTCTTTCACACTTCACAGAGTGTAGTGAAATTTAAGACATCTTTTATTTATGGTAATACATTTGGGTTATTATCGGAAACCTGAAAATAAATGTAATGTTGTAATTATTTTTAATAATAATAATATATATATATATATATATA